TTTTTTTTTTTTTTTTTTAAATCATCTATTATCTAAATCTGATATAAATGATATAACAAACATCAAAACAACGGGAAATAAATGTTTAACATACATCGTAAAAATGATTATTTAGGTAAATAATTACTAATATTGAATTATTTTGAGCATTAAATTACGGTTTTTATTTGAATTTTACTTGCTATGATTTTTGATTTCATGAATAGATCAAATATCGCACGAAATTGGGAGCTACGAAATATTGGAAGACGTGAAACTGCACGTGGCGCTATTAACTTTTTTAATAGTAAAGATGATAGAAATGCTTCTTCAGCTATGGATAATTCTGATAATTTAAAAACAAAGTATGCTTTTTTAAGTTTTTAATTTCTTTTTTCTTTTGCTGAACTACGTAGATAGTTTTTTATGCGTATTCTTCCTCATAAAATAAATTTAATTAATAAGGTAGCTTTTCTTTTTAAAATATAAATTCTTTTTCAAACTTCAATTTTAAAAATGTTCCATTTTCTGATTTATGAATATCGTATTTATTCGTAGTGTTCGTAATAAATCTGTCTCGTCGTCACAAGAGGATAATGTTGCCGTTGATGCCACCCGAAAGATTAGTGAAAGCAGGAAGAATTCTAGCACTTCGGATAGGTAATTTTGTTATTTTGCAACTCATTTCTAAACAATAAAAGTAATTTTAGCAATTTGTAAACTTATTTTTGGTTAATTGATCAAAAATATGAACTATCACTAATTAATTTATTGATTGACAGCTTTACCTAAAATTTACAAAAAATTGAAGTATTATTAAAATTGTAATAAATTTAATCTGATATTCAAATTTACATATGAACAAATATTTGAAGGTTAGCAAGTAAAAAAAAAGTATAAATTTAAATAGCAAAAATTGTACAGCAACGACGAGCCAAATTTACACGTAATTAGCAGAAGCGCACGTGACACAATCAAAATGTTCAACAATATTGCTAATAAAACGAAGGAAAAACTCGACAAGTATACTTTCATATTTATTTCTTATTTTTTTTTTTTTATTAATCTAAATTGTGAAATTTTTTCGAAATTTTCAAAATTTCTAAAAATTCATATTTCTCTCATTCATTGACTTTCAATTATGAAGAAACTACTATCAATTTAACAAATTTAGAAAATCTTACGAATGTTCATATCTGTATGATTTCATTTTTTTTTTCTGAAAGATTTTGAAATTAACGAAGAATTTTGAAGAAAACAAACAAACTAATACAAGAAATGTTTCATATTTAGTTCCTGTTTTATCTTTGTCTGAAATAACATTCGATTCAATTATTTCATTAAATTTCAGAAAATTTCAACAATTTTATAGGAATCCATTTTCATCAACATATGCTGTACCAAAGTATGATACAAGTGCGCAAGATTACGGTCGACCAACGCATGGATCTAAAACGGAAGCACGTGGTATTAAAGCCGGTCTGTTTTAGCCGTTTTTTTTTTTTTAATGTTTTTTTTTTCTTCCCATTAACGTATAATTTTAGTCAGAGTAAAATGAGTGTAATTTTAGATATAATTTAGAAGCAAAATTGTAATTCTGTAATTCTAACTGTATTGATAGTTCAGGTAATAGTTGAATAATTAAACATCGAATTTATGTTTGAAATTAGTGGAAATTTTTCAGGAGATTATGTAATGCGTGAGGTGTTATTTTTATGTGAAGTGATAAATACGCATGCAGAAGGTGAACCACCAAATCGAATCATCCGATTTGGTCCATTATTTTACATCTATGCGCATTATTCCGATAAAGTAAATTACTTGTAAATTTACATAAACTCAATAATTAAGATTTTAAATTTTGATGAAATAAATTCCAAAATGATTAAAGATTTAAATCTCATATATATGAATAATAATAATGTATGCAACAAAATTTAGATATTTTTGTGGGATGCAAGATTTTTTTTTTTTTTTAAAAGTTCTCAATTTACAAACATATGATACTTTCCTAAATGTATTCATATTGTTAACCAAATGCATAATAATTTAATGCAATTTAATGGGATCGTTTTAAGAATACTGATTAATTTGATGATATTATTTGTGTGATCAATTGATATGAATTTAGTCTGAAATGAATCAAAAAATGATTTCAAGAAAAACTTTTTGAGTATGAAAAAAAAAAAAAGAAAAAACTAAAGAACGTTTAAGAAAAAGGACAAAGAAAAGGATAGGATAAAATGACAGAAAATAAATGCAATTTTGTAATTTTTGCTAGATGAAAAAAATTATTTTTTCGAAATTTAAATTTTATGAAATTAATTCATTGTTGTTCAATTTATCAAGTTACAGTTGGTTGGAATGTTGATTCGAGCTCGAAAATATAAACTAGTCGATTTTGAGGGTGAAATGTTATATCAACGGCAAGATGATGATAAAATCATACGTTTACTGAAACCAATCGAAGAAATACGAAAACTTGAACCTTCAGGTGATCCGGTGAATTGTATTTCTATTAACAACAATGAAATTTCAAAATGATGCTACCTATTTTTATTTCAATTTTAAATTAATCAGGTATTAGATTAATATCTTATATTTTCACAAATTTTAACTTGATTTTGCAAATCGGGTTTCGAAAGCCTATAATTGTACATATATGCTTTTTGATCTTATTTGTAATTAAATAATCTTTTGCAATAAAACTATTCAAATGCAACATTTTATGAACAATGGCTAAAATAAGATTCATTTAAAAACGGGAAGAGAAACTGCATACGATTCTGACGCTCGGAGATTTTGTTCCACATCATTATTAAACTGCGACATTACCAAATGACTTGCCAAATTTACGGAATGCTCTGTCGGGAGTGGAAAACAGTTATCTCAGCAGAATTTAATAAATTTTCCTTGGATTGAAGTAATTAACGGTTTGTCGGGATTCTGTGTATTGCTGGATAACTAAAAAAAAAAAAAAAANCTGATCGCTCATTTCATTTTTATTTTAGTCAACATACTCTTTAAATTCAGAAGATTTTTTTTTTTAATTTAAAACATTTGTTTTTGTCTTTTATGTAATCCTTTAATTGTAGAAAACTCTAGATTTTTATTTTAAAATTTTAGAAGACTTCCAATCTTTTAAAAAAGCACAAGAGCATTTTTCTGCTCAGAACAATTCAAGCTGTGTTTATAAAAAATTTTAGAAAAAGATTTGCATATTTACGAAACGAAATTAAACGGAAAATACGTGCTAAATCAGTAATAAATGTTAGTTGAAGAAGAAGGAGAAAAAGTGCTCGGTTGGTTTTCATTTGCATTCTCCACGAATCACTTTTTGTATTGTGTTTAATGGAATGAAAATGAAAAATGTGCTTTAAGAAAAATTATATAATGGTTCATTACAAATTAGATAATGAATTAGCCTTGATAATTTCATTTTTCGAATTTAACCAAAAATTCCTAAGATCTCACAAGCATAGGCTAGGTAGACAAAGAAAAAATGAACCGAAATTTTTTGAATTTAATTTAAAAAATGAGCTAAAATTCTTGAATTTGATGAAGTCGAAATGAAAAAAGAAAAACTACGAGAACAAAATTATTATCATTGAAAAAGTTGGTAAGAAAAAGATCAATTCATAGAAATGCAAAATGAGAGATGAAAAGAAAGGAGAGATTAAAAACTTTTAATTAAAAATTGTGTCATTTCAGTTGAAAATTGAAATCAAGGAAACGCAAGGAATTGTAAAATTTTCTTGTTTAGTTCTCGAATTATTTTGACAACTTTCAATTTTAAATAATTCAAAATTTTCTTTGCAGTTTGTGCGGAATTTTGCTATATCTAAAGCAATACATACAATTTGCTAATGATGCTGCAAAATAAGTTTTATCAATTAAAATTGGGTAAGGAATGCAAAAATTTTTTTTCTAAAGCATTCCTAATTATCAGGCTAATTAACAGATTGCTCATATATTTGTAACATAACGATATGACAAAATATCCTGAATCGATATTTGCTCCAAGAACATATCTAATTTTCTTCTTGAAGACCATGTAGCTTATTAGCTGTTAATTGAAAATTTTTTCAGACAAATTTTTTGAACGAAGTTTATTTTTAAGGAAGTAAGAATTCTCATGGTTATACATATTACTATTATTAAAATTTCAATAATTCTTCAAATATTTCTTTTTCTAGGCCTATAATTTTTTTTTTTTTTTTACAGGTTTGCCAGGTACGTCAAAAAGCGAATTTTTACAAGGAGAATATGGTAAATTAGTCATACCAGCTGCTGCTAATGATTATATGGATGCTGTTGTTGCATATGTTGAATGTAAACATTGATAATTAATTATTTCTGAAGAATGTTACAGATCATTTCATCGTTACAACTATTTGCTTATAATTTTAAATTAATTAATCTTTGTTTGCAGCTTGGACTACAATTTATGTACAATTACCAAATGCTTACCGTACAATAGCAAAAATGCACAAAGAACTACAAGAAATATATCGTACCACCAAATCATTCTCAAATCCTATCTCAGGTTATCTAATAAAATTAATTAGATTAGTTCTAAAAAAAAAACAAGAAAAAGTAGTAGCAATACAAATATTATATTAAATTTCAAATTTTCATAATTTACGAAATCTTCCATTTAAAAATATTTCATATTGGTCATGCAGTTATCATATTGCAATAAAATAATGAAGATGAGAAGTTCGAATTAAACAATTTGAATTTTTGTATAAGTGTGAAGAGGAAAAAAAGCGCGAAGTAATATTTTATTAGAAAATTTATAGGTTCATCCGGCATTATGAAATATGACTTACAGAATGAATGCTACCGTATACTTATTATCAAACGTGTCGATCCAACTGTAATACGTGTAAGTTGAATTCAACAAAACTATATAGAAAACGAGAAACTTATCGCATTTGAGTTATTTGCACTCTCGACTCTCTATCTCCTGTTTCTTCTAAAATTTATTTATGATATTTAAATTTTACTATTTATCGCAATATATTTACCTGGATTGTTATTAAAACGTTTAGCACAAACTTGCTAACATATAGCTGAAGCGTAATTTTCAAGCTAACCAGATTAAAAAAAATGGCAGAAATATGAGTATCGTTAGCTTTCTGAACAAGATTTTTTGAATCATTGAATTATCTATTTTTAAATCAAACAGATAACAATTTAAAAAGTGGGGAAAAGTTAATTGACATTTCATTATTTCTTTATTAGTTTATTAAACTGTAATGATAAAAACCTATGCGCAGAACGAGAAATTATTTTACTAAATTTAGGATCATTTCACGTCGCACTCTGAATTTATTTAAACCGAATTTAGGATTCAACTCCAAAATATTTAATTAGCTATGATAGCGATTCATTTAGCAGTTATCTTTTATCTCTTATCATATTTTCATTCCTCTTTCCTTTTTATCTTTGTTATTAATCTTTTTTTTTTTCAAACAAATATTTTCTCGTATTCTTTCTTCAAATTCACATAGAAGTATGAGCTATAAGGCATTAATTAAACTTTCGTCAGCAAATATCTACCTGTAAGTAAATGTAGACGATTTACTATATTTTCAAGGTACGATTTGTCGATTTCGGTTATACGGATGTTGCAACAAAACAACAAATTCATCCAATATCAAAAAGCTTAACCAATTTACCTGGTCCATTTACTTTTCACTGGCTAATATTATTTAAAATATAGCTAATCTGTTTTCACCTTGCAAACAATTTAATGATTTGACCCAAAATAAAATTTGGCTCGTCTGCTTTATTTTTCACATACGTACTTTACATTTATAATTTATCTTAGGAAAGTGTAATGTAATTTTTATGAAAGTATTGGAATTTAAAGTAATTGTTTAAGAAATTTAAATAATGAAAATTGTAATAAAGAGAGAAAGAGAGAGAGAGATTAATTTTGCAGCACAAGCATTTCCGATACGAATAGAATTGAAAGATGGCATAGCAGGTTCAATGTCGCTTAATGCTTTTCGAAAATATTTAACAAATGCGCAAGTTATCATTCAATTAGGTTTATCAAAGTTTTTTTTTTTTGTTGAACTCGCATTAAATTAAAATCTAATAATGAAGGAGCTGAATAATTTTAATCGAAATTGACGAATTTAATTGTTTGGTATTAATATTTACGAAATTAATCCAAGAATTTTAAGGGAAATTTTGCTTCCTTCCATCACTTTTGAATTTTCTAATTTTGATTAAATTCAAGAAAGCTTTTCTACAAACTTTTTCATTTTTTGGATATATGTAATCTCTTTTGGATTTTTTAAATTGTTATTTCTTAAAATTTATATGAAAAGTATTACTGAAGTTACTAAGATCGCTGTGCATCAAAAATATGTATATATTGTTATATGTGTTATCAAATTTGTATAAATTTGCTAATGAAAAAAATCAGAACTTAAAAAAGAAATAGAATTGATTTCCGAAAGGGCAGTTTATTTTCGGATACAGGTAATAAAATTGTAAATGATTCCTTCATGGGAATTATATATTTAACTGATGAAAACAACAAATGGTATTCAATGAATGAAGCAGTCGAATCAAAAATTTCCATCAAAAAGTATTTAAGTATTTTTCTAAATTATCAAATTAAAACATTGACCATTTGAGTAAATTACGATTAAAAAAGTATTGGAAATCAAAAAGGAAATCCTAGCAAATGTATAACTGAAGTTAAGATAACAGTAATTTGGAATTAATTATATTACTGATAGTTTATATGTTAAAATTTACTGCACTTTATAAGTTCTTTTTTCTTGTGGTAAAAATCTTACTTATTTTAATTAAAGTAGGCAATCCTATTGTATTACTTAATAAAATTTTAAAACTTTTTTTAAAGACATTTTGTTATTCAACAAATATATCTTATAATCAATATAGTAATTGTTAAGGTGGAATTATTCATCAGATTTACATTTAGATTGATGATAAATCACAATGATAACACAAGTAAGGAAGTTATTGCTCATATCAACGATTTTAACGAAGAGCCAGTAATGATGGTACTAAAGCCGGCCGGAAAAATTAGTAAGTTGAAAAATTTAGAAATAATTAATCAACTGAGAAATAATGATAAATTAAATGGAATTGAATTTGTAGTAAACAGTCTCAGTTAGCCAACGATAATATTGATAGCAGCAGTGATAATGATAGTGATTTATGAAACAAAATATATTATAATAGATGTGGAAGATAAGGAAACAGAATTGAGCAGTTTACGAAGAAAATTTGAGAAAAAAGGGAAAATTTTTCGAAATTTCGCTTATGGTTCTCCTGAAAATAGCGGCTACAGTAATGGTAAACTAATTTAATTTCATCAAATTTTTTTTTTTTTGAAAAGTTTAATATCGAATGGAAAACTTCCACAAATTGAAGGACAAATTGGTAGGAATTTTTTTTTGCTGGAAAAAATTGGTAGGAATTTTGGATGACTTAATTAGGATAAATTTTGTTTAACTTACCTTGAAATGATTATGTGTGAAAATTTAAATTAAAGCTCCTTTTGTTCTTGCTAGAGATCAGAGATTTAGTATTAGAAAGAAGCGGAGCAAAGATACGAACAAAAGTAATAGTTTGAAAGAGGAAATGGATGAATATGAATGGTATGCAAATTTAAAGGTTATTATAATGAATGAGTCGAAATGCAA